CCCCCCGCGCCGGGAAGCCCCGCGCGAACACCTGCTCCGGGGCCAACCCCCCGCGCCCGCCGGAAACCCCCTACGCGCCTCCTGACTCACCCTCCTGTTCGGTGCAGGAGGCCGGCAGAGCAGCTAGTGCCCTTCTGGCATTGCCGGAATGGCGCTAAGCCGCGGGACTTCTGAAGCCGACACTACCTCTGAGGTAAGTAGTGGGGCTTCTGGGGGGTGGGAGGGAAATGGGGGCAGGGCGGACAGGACGCCTTGCGAGCTACTGGTCGAGGCCTCGAGATCGACCAGTAGCTCGCGATCGACCTGTTGGTGACCACGGACATAGAGGAACTGATATGAAGAAGCTCTGCATAGCCACAGGTTATAATACTTACAAGGGAGAATTGAGATTGGTGAGAGTCCCCTATGATCATAGCTATCTTACCAGCTGTGCAGCTAGGACACTGGAGAATTCACTGTTCATGGCATATGGAAGTGCTGTCTGTGCTCTTGAACCATAGGTCGTCTGAAATCTCCTTTTGATTTCATTCAGGAAATGGAAGGCTCTGGAACGTTCAAAGTTCTAAAAATAAGAACAAAATGTTCACACCAGGCAGAAAACGGCAAGTTACCTGACACTATTCAAGTCAGGAACCTGCTTAGTAAACTGTGGGATTAGTGGCCTACATGATATGAAGCCCTTTAGAGACCCTCTATTCTACTGTCAAAGATATTCTGCACATAATCCTGCAAGAGCCATGCTATCTCTTCCTCCTATTCCCTCACTAATTGTACCAATCAGTCGGTTTCTCCCTAAACACTCACTGGAATTAGAGCTCAAAAGCAACCCTGGGTGCTTCATTTACCTTTTAAGGGGAAACAGAAACAAAGATGATTTCACAGCCTTCATTTGTACCTTTTTCCACAGTTGAGGGCAAAGTTTAAGCATACTTTAGTAATGACCAAGGACGCTTTAGGGATGGCTGCAGAGTGAATATCAACTGATCCCTGTAGTTTTATTGTGCTGGTCCTACTGAGAATGCCAGGTGAATCTCCCTTCCCTTCACACATACACCCCCCTCCGCCCCAAGTTGTCACTTGCAAATAGAAAGCAGCAGAAATAAGCCAGGATCTTGTGAGGAGAAGTCAGAAGGGGAGGCTGGTGTGACAGGAAGGAAACACTGTCACCACCCCACACACTCTAGAGGGAGAGTGAGGTAGATTGGACTCAAGTAGTTGAGATTTGACTTGTGGGGCCCATGTTCTGAGTTACAGTGCAAATATGCAGGAATATCATCGAAGAAAACACCCCATTGCTGATTTTCATGAATACTCAGAGGGAAAAAAGCCAGCCTTTGCAGTGTGTATGCATAAGAGTGTTAACCAAGATACTTACATCGTCTGTGATGCAGAGATATATAATCCGGTCTTGACAGATATAATGAAACAAATAACTGCAAAAAAAAAAAAAATCTTATTTAGAGCTTCCTACAAAACAACCAGAACTCCTGTAGAAGATCCCACTGTCCGATGTGTTCAAATAGCTCTTTGCCAGGCACACTAGGGCCACCCAAGCAACTTGCAGCCACCTTACAGAAAATGAAGCAGGTCCCAACATGCAGTGCTCCATCTTGATCACATGTTTCATCTGGGACTTTTGTAATGTAGCCTGCATAGATCTAAAAATAAACAGCTGTGGGTTACATGGGTTGGTGTCCAAGCAGCCACAGGTAACTAATAGCCCACATCTGGGCATCCCTGGATTAATAGCTAAGTGAGGGCAATGCCTAACTGCAGATGTATTGGTACAGCATGTAACTAATCTTTTACTGTATGAAGATAAAAGCATCAAGGGGCTTTCCACAGATAAGGTTCAACATCAGCCCAAGTACAGAGCAAACAACCATGTCTACCAAAGCAACCCAACAAATTCCTTGGGCAAAAAAAAAAAAAAAAAAAGTGTAGCTAGCGTGCCCACATTATTTTTTTTATTGAAGCAATGAAGTTGTCATTGTAAACTCTTCTGGGTCCAGGTCTCTAGCACAAGGAGGCCAGTTCAGTAACCCAATTAATGTTTTGGCTAAAACATTTCCAAATGCATGGGATCCACAAGCCTTCATTAGCTGCTTACACGAACAGCTGTATGGTATCAAGTATCAGGGGTAGCCGTGTTAGTCGGTGAGGAGTGCCACAGAACTCCTGGCAGCTGTATGGTAATCAGCCTCCTCCAACAGCTACACTACAGTTAATTACCAGTGCAACTCTTTGGAAATAACAAGCAGCCACTCTGCTCCCAGTGTTGCATTCAGTCTTAATTTTTCCATTTGTACCTAGATTGATACACTTATGCAAAGAGCCCTGCACAGATACAAAATTTGTATCCACATCTACATCTTCAAAAATGAGACACAGATACCTGCTATGACATCCATGCATGCAGATACTCACAAATATAAAGTGGATATCTGCAAATTTGCAGGATTCTAGATACAAAATTTGTATCCACATCTGCAAAAATGAGCAGCAGATATCCATGGATTTGCAGGGCTACTTATTCAAGTCTGATGTTCTGCAATACTAAACATCTTTATGAATACCACAACAATGTGATTCCCAAGTTTTAATTAAAGTATTACTAAAATACCTTTCTATTATTATGCAGCCTCTTTCATGGAATCATAGAATACTAGGACTGGAAGGGACCTCAAGAGGTCATAGAGTACAGTCCCTTGCCCTCATGGCAGGACCCAGTACTGTCCAGACCATCCCTGATAGACATTTATCTAACCTACTCTTAAATATCTCCACAGATGGAGATTCCACAACTTCCCTAGGCAATTTATTCCGGTGCTTAACCACCCTGACAGTTAGGAACTTTTTCCTAATGTCTAACCTAAACCTAAACCTCCCATGCTGCAGTTTAAGCCCATTGCTTCTTGTTCTATCCTCAGAGGCCAAGGTGAACAAGTTTTCTCCTTCCTCCTTATGACACCCTGAAAACCGCTATCATGTCCCCCTCAGTCTTCTCTTTTTCCAAACTAAACAAACCCAATTCTTTCAGCCTTCTCTCATAGGTCATGTTCTCTAGACCTTTAATCATTCTTGTTGCCCTTCTCTGGACCCTCTCCAATTTCTCCACATCTTTATTGAAATGCGGTACCCAAAACTGGACAATTCTCCAACTGAGGCCTAACCAGCGCAGAGTAGAGCGGAAGAATGTGTCTTGCTCAACACACCTGTTAATGCATCCCAGAATCAGGTTTGCTTTTTTTGCAACAGCATCACACTGTTGTTGGGGTCGGCAACACTGTTGATTCATATTTAGCTTGTAGTCCACTATAACCCCTAGATCCCTTTCTGCAGTACTCCTTCCTAGACAGTCGCTTCCCATTCTGTATGTGAGAAACTGATTGTTCCTTCCTAAGTGGAGCACTTTGCATTTGTCTCTATTAAACTTCATCCTATTTACCTCAGACCATTTCTCCAATTTGTCCAGATCATTTTGAATTATGACCCTATCCTCCAAAGCAGTTGCAACCCCTCCCAGCTTGGTATCATCTACAAACTTAATAAGCGTACTTTCAATGCCAATATCTAAATCGTTGAAGATATTGAAGAGAGCCTGTCCCAAAACAGATCCCTGAGGAACCCCACTTGTTATACCTTTCCAGCAGGATTGAGAACCATTAATAACTACTCTCTGAGTACAGTTATCCAGCCAGTTATGCACCCACCTTATAGTAGCCCCATCTAAGTTGTATTTGCCTAGTTTATTGATAAAAATATCATGCGAGACCCTATCAAACGCCTTACTAAAGACTAGGTATACCACATCCACCGCTTCTCCCTTATCCACAAGGCTCGTTATCCTATCAAAGAAAGCTATCAGATTGGTTTGACATGATTTGTTCTTTACAAATCCATGCTGGCTGTTCCCTATCACCTTACCACTTTTCAAGTGTTTGCGGATTTCCTTAATTACTTGCTCCATTATCTTCCCTGGCACAGAAGTTAAACTGTTCTTATTCCCCTTTTTATAGATGGGCACTATATTGCCCTTTTCCAGTCTTCTGGAATCTCTCCTGTCTCCCATGATTTTCCAAAGATAATAGCTAGAGCCTCAGATAGCTCCTCTATCAGCTCCTTGATGCATTTCATCAGGCCCTTATGAAGAGTGTTTGGAATCCGAGCCAAACTACCCATTTCCTACACTTACGTAAGGATAGCAGGACAAAGGTGTTTCTACTGAAGGGGTGGTTCTCCCCATTCTGTACTCCAAGGCGGATTCTATAGCAACAAATTAAAAACTCTGCTTGCAGTATTTTCAAATTCTGCATATTTGATCTGTCAAAACAATATAATTGCATGGTTTCAGTTACTTTTGGTATTTCAAAATACCTGTCAGCAACTATTTCAGTGACAATGAAAAAGATTCAGAAAATGTGTTTGACAGATTCCATACTAACCGTATTAATACAGAACTCTGAGCATGAATTCATTTAAACTACAACACAGAGCCTATTCCCCCTTCCAGAAAAAGCATAAAAGCTTCGAAGAGTCAGGGGTAATGGAGGAGCTGAGGGAGGTGGAAATAATTGCTGGGAAAGGAGCCTGTGTGAACTTGGAGGGTTGTTGGGTGTGGGTGGGAAAAGTATGGAACAGGTTTTTTGGGGACGGCAGGGGGCAAGGAGGGACTGTTGGGGAGGTTTCCCCATGCAGACCCTGGTAAGGATGTGAAGGGGCAGTCGAGTACCTGATAAGCAGGAGCTGCCCCTCTGCATTTTTAAACAGGACACAGCAGTGGCAGCCTATCCCCTTGTGTGTCTCAGCACAAGCTGGCTGCCATTGCTGTGTCCCTTTTAAAAATGCAGAGTGGCAGCGTGAGGACTGTCCTGAGACGAGGGACCAGAAAATGAGCCAGCATCTTTGCACACTGGCTCCTCTCTGTCCTTTTAAGGCTGCAGAGCAGCAGCTAGGAGTTGTTCTCAGATGCAGCCTGAGCCAGAAGTGAGTGCTTAAAGAGCCTTTCCTTAATGACTAGTCGAGCAATTGATGGAAATTCCATCGACTACTCGACTAGCAAATTAATCAACACTTAACATCCTTAGACCCTCGCTGACCTCTTGCCCCTGTAATTCCATCAGACACATCTCTCCACTCAGTCACCTCTGACCTTTGTGGCCTTGAACCCCCTCTCCATCACCATGTAGACCTGAAAGAACCCCAACACTCTATGAGAATGGCTCCTTGCAGTGAAGTCTGGGACTAAGTCTGCTGTGGCCCACTGAATTTTCTCCTCTTGCTCCTTCTTAGACCCTGCTCCTTTTCCTCTCATCTCCACTCTCTCCATTAGTCCCTTCTTGTCCCCTCCTGCTATCTTTCCCTCTCCTGCCCCTGCCCCCTCACTTTCCTGAAGAGTCTTGTCTTGCAGCCTACATGTGGTTAGGCAGGAGGGCACTGGGATGGGAGCCAAACAGGAACCAGGAACTTCAACTTGTTTAAAGCAAGTCCATGTTCAGGTCACTCACATCAGCATGCAGGTGGAGCCAAATGCCAATCATCAAACTTTATGATTGGCCAGGCACAGGGGCCAGAGCAGGGGCCAAGAGCTAATCAAAAATCAAGCAAAACACTCCCAGCTATTTTAAATTCCTCCACAAGCCAAAAACTAGCCCAGGCATAAGGCACAAGCCAAGTGAGCCCAAAACAAGCTAAATTCCTGCTTGTTTTCTGCAGTGTTGGTAACAAACGCTGTTCTCTACTGCCAGAGCAACCTCTGGTGAGCAAAAGGCAGAACTGCAGCAACTTTCAGCAGAAACTTTTCTCTGCACACAAAATTACAAAAATGTGCATAGCTCAGTTGTGTGCACGCAGTGGCACAGAACTGCCCCAGGAGTAATTTTGTTATAGGCACACAAACACTGCAGACTTAGATTGATAGGAGGGAACCCCTGCAATTCTGGCTGGGGCAATATTTCATACTGCAGACAGAGTGGCTAGTCCCAGTGGTGCCCAATAGTTCCAAGCCTGCGCTATGCATTGTTCTGCTGTGGTAGTTTAGGTTTGGGAACACAGCTCTTCCCTCTTTCAAGCAAAGTGTTTAATAGAGCAATAAGTCCTCTCTTCACCGTTATACAAACTTGTAGGTTCCAAGATTAGCTCCCTAACGGCCTGCAGTGTACATGTTCAGTTGCACGTCACATGTACCAGGGAAGCAGACATATTACTATCCCTTATCAGAGCTCCCTTCACAGCCAAGATCCTCTCAACCAGGAATTAGCATTTATCAAACATACTACATAAGAACAGCCATACTGGGTCAGACCAGCCCGGTGTCCTGTCTTCCCACAGCAGCTAATGCCAGGTGCCCCAAAGGGAATGAACAGAACAGGGAATCCTCAAGTGATCCACCCCGTTGCCCATTCCCAGCCTCTGACAAACCTAAGGACACCATCCCTGCCCATCCTGGCTAATAGCTCTTGATGGACCTAACCTCCATGAATTTATCTAGTTCTTTTTTGAACACTGTTGAAATCCTGAGCAGTGTGAAGAAGCATTTCCTTTGCTTGTTTTAAACCTGCTACCTATTAATTTCATTTGGTGACACCTACTTTTTATGTTATGGGAACAAGTAAAAAATAGCTTTCCCTTATTTACTTTCTCCACACTAGTCTTGATTTTATAGACCGCTAGAATTAGAGCCCTGCATGGATAGAAAATTTTGCATCTGCAGTCATATCTGTATCTGCAAAAATGAGCCGCAGAGATCTGTGTCCACATCTGCAGATACCTGTGGATATAAAGCGGATATCCACGGATTTGTACGTCTCCCCTTAGTCGTCTCTTTTCCAAGCTGATAAGTCCCAATCTTATTAATCTCCCCCTCATATGGCAGCCGTTCCATACCCCTCATTTTTGTTGCCCCTTTTCTCAACTTTTTCCATTGTCAAGATATCTTTTTTGAGGTAAGATGACCACATGTGCACACCATATTTGTAATGACCTTCTGTTTGCTTTTTTGACTGCTGCTGCACATTAAATGGATATTTTCAGAGAACTATCCACAATGACTCCAAGATCTCTCAAGTGGTAGCAGCTAGTTTAATCCCCATCATTTTATGTGTGTAGTTGGGATTATGTTTTCCAAATAGGAATGTGAATGGTTAATCAGTTAACTAGTTAACTGCTAAGTATTACCCTTACCAGGTGATGCTTGACAGTAACGATTAACCAGAGGGGGCGCCCCCTCCATCACGGGTGAGGGGTGCTCCAGCCTAGCTGCAGCAGGGCTGCTCCAGAATCAATAGTGTAACTGGTTAAACATACTGCTTAGCCAGTTAATGAAACAGGGTTTTACATCTCTATTTGCAATATGCATTTATCAACATTAAAATTCATCTGCCTTTCTGTTGCACAGTCAACTAGTTTTGTGAGATCCTTTTGAAGCTCTTTGCAGTCACTTTGGACTTAACTGTCGTGAGCTATCTTGGAGGCACACCTTGCCAACTGCCCAGCTTGGCTTTAAGGAGAAACTCTGGATTGGAGGAAGGAACATGAGCCCTCAAGATTAAGATTTAGTATTTTGTAAAAACTGAAGACTTCAAAGCAGATACTTAGTCAACTGGATGGGACATGTCCCTAATATAGAACACTTTGCAGTGCTCCCAGCTAAAGATCTCCCTAGTCAGAGCTAGAATTGTCGGGTTCCTACCGATTTCATTGTACAGCGTGTAGGCAGGACCAGGCACTTGTTACCTGTAATCCTTGGTGTGTTTACAAGTTTTGGCTCCAGCACCTTTGACCGTGTGAGGGAAAGTCTGTTGTATGTTTGGTCAGATCTAGATTAGAAACAACTGAAATGGACTTTGGGACACCATCCACCTGGCTTTTACCACAGAGGTCCAATAGTTCTGTGCTTGGTCATCTGGGTCATGCATCATTGTAAAGGCAGGGAGTCAGCACACTTTAGGAAAGTTTAAATATACCCATTTCAAAGTCTGATCCCACATAGATTTCTCTCTCCATGGCCAGAAGACAAAACTGCATGTAGTCAGTTGCACCTTTCTAGCTTCTCCCATTGTCGACAATTGTTTCTGGTATGTCCAATCAATCTCCGACTCCTAGTACAAAGTCTCCTAGCTACACCAGAAGAGAATACCACCTCCACTGGCGTCTTAGAGGGTCCCATCTCCAAGAACGGCCCAAGGAATGCAACACTTAAATGTATCAGGAGCTGAGAAATGTCAGCAGTTAGTGCAGCAAATCTGCTGCTCTTACACCAGGGGTGGGCAACCATTTTCACATGGGAGCCATGCCAAGAATTTTGATAAGGGGTGGGGCTGCTTGTGACACAGATACTGGTGGGTGGTGACTGCTGCTGGTAAGTTCCTGAAAGAGACAGTGCACGGGGTCTTTAAGACCAGGAAAAGTTCTCCTGCTCTGTGGAGTTGGGCATATGGGGGTGGGAGGCCAGGAGTGAGCAAGAGAGAGAAAACCAGCTTCTGGAGAAATCTCAGAAAGTGCACTGCCTCTAAGAAAGGAACTCGCCTCAGTTACACAAAATTCATACCTCTGTATCCCGTTCTTCCTGACCCCTTCTTTGCAGAGATGGGGTACAGAGGCAGTGGGACAACCAAGCAGGAGAGTCCTGGAAGCAGCTTGGTGGTAGGACAGAGTAAGGTTGGGGAGTGGCACCTGAACACACACTGGCAGCTGTATGCGTGCTATGCTAATCAGCTGGGCAGGTCACATTCTGCCCTCCTTTGGCTTACACTCTGGAAAATTGCAAATGCAGCCTCCGTCACCCCAAGTACAGCACCACGTCAGAGAGCATGGTCAGATCAACTGCTCTAGTCTTGAGATGTGAGGTCATAATCCAACTAATTCTCACAACTCCAGAGGATTGGAGACCTGAATTTTAGCACAAAAAACAACCCGACAACAGGTGAGCAGGAGTAATGTCCACGCAGTTTCTCCCCACAGCAGGTCCCATCCCTCCCCCACACCCCAGAAGACCAAACATTACTCACTTTCCATGTGAGTAGGTGAGTTTGTTGTTCTCTGATGGAATCTTTGCTAGGATCTGTTCAGTCACCTCTAGGAAGTTCCCTCCACACCAGGCATGTTTGGCAAGGATGGTCGAGCCTCTGGCAACAACGGCAAACAGGATGGCCATCGCTTCACGCTAGCTATGGACACAACACAGAGGATTTAGGGAACTTGTAACATTTCCTCTATAGACCCCTCTCAGTGGAACACAGCAATTCCATCTTAAACCCCACCTCTCAATCTCACGCACAGGAGCAAGGAAGGAGTCAGATTTATTTCTGCCAGATGCCACTTCCTGCAGCCCATTTTTCTTCCCTTTCCCCTTTTCTAGGCACTGATCAATAAGAAAGGCAATAGATTTTAAAGTTCCTGGAGTTTGCAGGGGGAGGGGCACATCTGTTTACCTGGCTGCAGAGCGGCGGAGTTCAAAGCACTGGCCAGAGTGACTAATTGGACATGATGGGAGAGGGAAACATGTTGGAATTCAATAACTTGGCAAAAATCTACTCATGGCTGTTGACAGTAAAGGGAGGAGGGAGACAAAAGTCCCTTGTGGGGCTGGAAGTTTTTTGTCACCGAAACTAGGCACCTATTGCAACTCGTCACATTACAATGTGAACACTCTCCAGGTTTGTGGGTGAAAACTTGCCAGTGTAGACAAGGGCTCAGACTGCAAACTCTTTGGGGCAAAGGGTAGCTTGCTGCCTCATAACAAGTAACTCTGATTATTGTACCAGTAGTGGTCACAACATATGTACACAGATCTCTATACATTAAGCTGTTTGTTTGAAAAAGGCTTCTTGATTTTAATACATCATGGATCCAAAGTACAACACTGACACCAGCTGCTTGAGTTTGTGGA